GCCTTCAGATGTTCACGATTCACACGCAGTTTCTCGATTTTGCAGCTTACGCAAGCGCCACATACGGACTGTAAACCGGCTCGAAACGATTCAACATGCGGCGCACTAAATCACAGACCATTTGACATTTGGTGTCACGTAAGGGCAAAAACGCTGTTTCCGCCTGTCGGTAGAAAATGCTCTTTGGGCTAATCGGGCCTAGATTTGCCAGACCTATATCTCTGAGAAGCGGAGGGGAGGGGGGGGGGGAGTGAAGGAGTCGTTTCTGCAGGGTTATTGGCAATTTGCCTGTGGATTACTCACGGATGACAGAATTTTTATAACATAAATTATCAAGAAAATTTTCGTGAAGGATTAGCCAACTTCCCCAACAGTCCGGTAAAATTCCTTGTCCATGCCGCCACTGCCACACAAGCTACAGTCGAATCATTTCATATGATCATGTGTGTCACTGCATACGTTGTCCATTCCTGGCATCCCCATCCTGGAATTGCAATCGCAAAAGCGCAAGGGAGCGACCAATTACCATCGCTTACATCACTTTGTGAAGATTGGTACTTTAAAAGGAGAGAAAGCATGAAGAAAACATTGGAAACACTTAGCGGAGAGGCTGTCTGTTCCTAAAATCCAGGATGGGGACGCCAAAGGTGGACAATATGTGCACTGACACACATGATCATATGAAACGATTCGACTGTATACAATGTAACCTCCCTCCCTCCCCCCCCTACCCTTTCCCCACTAATTATGGTATCTGTATGCACAATGGCGAGTTAGAGAATGCATGAAAATTCATGAAAAACTTATGGGAAATAGTAGGCGAACTTTTTCATAAGTTAGATGCCTCATGCCACGTAGCGAGCCATCTGAGGTGACCTAAGAAAAAACAAAATCATAACCTTACACAGTTCTGTCCAACTCGTGCGACATCACATCATGTAATGTGATAGTTACAATGTGTTGTACCAGTCTTCATGGATAAATTAGCATGTCATATAAAAAATGCGCAAATCTCGAGAATATTTAGAAACTCCTACAGATATTCGAAACTGGCAGATATATGCTCGGGTTTCTTCACGAGAAGCGAATATAGAGGAGAGAGACAAAACTGCAAGCTACAGGTCGCTGAGAGAGGAACTCAGCTACCATGGAAAATCTTTCATCAATTTGAAGAAATGCTTGTAATAACTGATTGAAACCAGATTAGTCGCTTCTCTGGCATGACCTACACCATTGAACCCCTACTCCGTTGTAGGGGATGTCGATCCCTTTCCCCGCGTTGTTGAGTTACACTCGTGCATACGGGGATCGAGAGGGAGGGGAAAGGGATCCTCTCCCCCACGCAAACCCCGTATGCACTGGGGTTCGTTGGATCAACACCTCGGAAACCATCCACACCATCCTCGCTGAGGGGAGGGGATCGTTCCCCTCCCCTCTGTCATGGCCGGGATCAGTAGAGGAGACCGTTCCCCTAAAGATCCAACTCCCCTCCCCTCCTCAGCGGGGACGTACGTGCATACGGGCCTTAAACTTTCTTCATAAAAAGTCTGGAAACCTTTACATCCAAAATGATTATTGTAGATGTAAAGTTTCTGTCATGGAAAGAAATTCTTCCTTTTTACTTCTTTGCCTGTTTAAGCTAGTTTCGATTACAGATTTAATAAATACTTCCTGTTGAATAAGGTTATACAAAAAATATCTGCGAAAAAGAGCACAAAGAAAGTTTCTAAGTATTAGGTGGGTACAGAAGTTCGTTCGCCAAATTTCAAAAATCATAACTTCCTTTCGACTCGATGAATCTCTTTGATATTATATCCCATTTGAAAGAGAAAATCTTTCTCTTTACAGCAGTTTCTTTGCCATGAATTGACATGGGAAAGTTCGAGAGAGTTAAAAGCAATTGAGGAAAAGTACTGCGTTTTTTAAGCAGGGTCACGATAAACTGTGGAAGTATTTATGTATGATAGAAAAAATTATGCTCTTTTTATGCTTTTTTACTATAGTGGCTTCCCCATGAATTAGAACGGAAAAAAACCAAAGTTAGAAGCAAATAAAGAAAAACTTTTCAGTTTTGTAAATTTTGAGCATGCTAAAAAACCTAAGAACGTCCTCGAAAAGACGGGAAGTCAAGAACATGAGTTTCATGACCTTTCCATTCTAGCTGAGCGAATTTTGAGCTAATCAAGAGCAATTTTGATTTTTGTGAAAAACGCACACCCGAAAATCCGAAAACATCACGAAAATCAAAATTGCCTTCGCTCAGCTCGAAACTCGCTCAGGTAGAAAGAGAAGGTCACAAAACCCATGTCCATGACCTTTTCGTCTTTTCTGTAACGTTTTTAGGCTTTTTTGAGCATGCTCAAAAATTGCAAAATTGAAGTAATTCTTTTTATTTGCTTCTAATCTCGATTTTTTTCGTTTTAAATCATAGAAAAGGCGCCACTGTAATGAGCATAATTTTCTAGATCGAATCAAAGTACTTCAAGAATTTTTCATGACCCTACTTGAAAAACGCCATGAGTATTATATTCAATTACTTTAAACTTTCGAATTTATTCATGCCAACTCACGGCAAAGGTACTGCTGTAGAGAGAATGGTCTTTTTTGAATGGATTTAGTGCAAAGAGAATCCTTGAGTTTGAAGGTAGCATGATTCTTCTAAAATGTGGCGAGCGGACTTTTGCACCCACCTAATATAATTCAAGGATTTCAAACATCTTCGGTTTTAACTGTAATCTCTACCATTCGCAGAAAGCTGGTACGCGCTGCAGTTGATATGTATGAAAGTGTTTGCTTAGATGTCTGCGCGGCTCCTTCTCTTTCTCATCTTCTATCGAAGGAATGGGTTTAGACATAAGAAAATGAGGAAACCTCAGAACATGTTAGCATCACTCAAAGATGTTATGCGTTAGAGGGGAAAAGTCAAGTTTTCTGCTTTACATGGGCGCTTTTGCGTTCTTCAGAATTTCATCGCCATGCTAATTCGGAATGTTTCATGAAATTATTTGAGCTTTGTCAGCTTTATTGCTGGGTCGTTAACGTTTCGAATTGTTGTTTGAAAGCTTTGATCTCTTATCCCTAGTTTATCGATGCTTCCTAACGCCAATTTCGCCAATACATCAATGCAATTACCAATTTCGTATATCAAAAACCAAAACATACTGCGATTATATTGAGGTTACTCACATAAATAGCCGTTGAGAACGCATCCTTTACCAGTATACTTTCGTTTCTTCGACGGTCTTGTGGCTTTTCAATCATTTTTACAAAAAGTATACTCTAGTCTAGTCTTCTCATAGCTGAAAAAGTTTATTACCGCTGGTGCTCTCAACCGGACAAATTGCTCGTTAGAACAAGCTGTATTTTTGTATACGAAAGGCAAAATAAATGAAAATTACGAATTATTTCCTTTTCGGTTTTACGCCAGATTTGAAACATTTTTGGAAAAAGCGCTTGTAAAAGACGGAAAATTTCTATTTGTGCTTGCAATATAGATTTAAATGCGAACAGGCCAACATAGTGCTTTGTCTACATCTTTCGGTTCTCATTTTCTTAATTACAAAACAAACACGATATCTTTCTACGAATCTCTTATCGAAGATTATAAGTATAAGAAAGTTTGAGGGTGGTGAAGCTCATTCCTTCAAAGGTCACTAAATTTTATTTTTCATCTCACAAGGGAAGGATACCAACATTAGTTGGCAACTGAAGATGAGATGTATATCATCAGATGCGCTTTTGAACGCTGATTCCAAATCTGCTTTCCTTTCTTATGGAATAAATTTCCGAAAGGAGTTCTCAGCGTTTGAATGTCCAAATTTGCCAGGCTTAAAATCAGCGAAAAAGCTCTAAAACAACACCCATTGGATTTCCACCGGCTTTGTTCCTTCCTTGCAAGCAATATACTCGAATACAAAAATGATATTCCACTTTCCGGTGTTTTCGTACGGCTTTTCGCCAATTTTAGGTCACCTAAACCTTGAAAAATTTGGACATTCATACGCTCATAACTTCTTTCGGAAACTTATTCCGCAGGAAAGGAAAGCAGATTTGGAATCAGCTTTCAAAGGCGCGTTTACCGACCTGCATCTCATCTTCAGTCGCCAACTAATGCTGGTATCCTTCCTTTGTCAGTTAACGTAGAACCAAAGTGCGAATGTTTTAAGGATATCTAAGGAGAGATAACTGCTGACCACAGCTTTTGTGATACATCATAAATTAGAGTGCTCGCCTCAAAACGCTGATCTCAAAACTAAGTTCATTATCTGCCGAATGCTTTTTTTTTTTCAAAGAAATAGTGCCAGTGAAAGCGAACGCAAACATATCCGCGCCGGCAGTTGTGCAGTAATTGACAACGCTAACCGCTAAACTCTTTGACACTTTCAGCACCTATCAACATTAGTCGTATTCTTGTGCAAACACATTAGATCTGAAAAAATACGGTGTTTGTAAAGAATCTTTGCCGATAACGAACACAGTTTTGAAATTAGTGTCCCAAAACGAATGTCATGACATATCGTCGATTTATGACACGCAAAGACTGGGCGCCATTGCGTCCGACGAAGATAGTTTGTGCACAGGAGAGACAGCAGACGGTAAGAGAAACGAAAAAGTGCTCGATCACGGAGACGCCGATATGTCCGCAGTCTTTGCGTGCTATGAATCGCCTATATGTCACATATCAAAAGGTCAAGGTCACCAAGTTTCCCTTCCCCGTTCGTAGCTTTGATTTATCAAATGGCATGTTTATACAGTGTTTAAATCTATTTTCCCGCGATGGCATGAGGAACATCCAGTTTCAAAGTGCAGTATTATGCAATCATAATTTGCAAGTTTGGTTAGTGAGTTAGTGCTAGCCTCGTTTACACACTAACTTGTTAATACCTCACGGAGTTAACTTGTTGATAACTAGCTACCAGATTTAACTTGTTGATAACTAGCTACCAGATTTATGTGGAGTAACTGGTTTTCTCAAACCACTGCTCGTTATCTGACAGACAAAAATCATAATTACAGAATGCGAATACTGATCTTCTTGTGCATTCTCCCATTATGCGACTGTTTTGCTATTTCTGGCCACCCAGTTGAAGTAGTTGGGATACTGCGTTGTAACGTTAAACCCGCTGCTAACGTGGATATAATGCTGGTAGAAAAAGAAGCTTGTGAGTTAGAACTGCAACTGAGCTCAATTCAAACTATAATTTCAGCTTCCAAATTCCGATTCCTGGCTCTTTCCAAATCGCGCCGCCAAGGTTCTTTCAAAATTTCAGGCCATGCTACAGATACAACCCAAACACAACTTGTCATATATCATAGATGCAACTATCATGAGGTACAGCTTGTTTACTCTTTGCCGATGAACAACTAGATTTCCAGAAGAATGACAATGTAGCAAACTTATATCACACGAATGCTGTTTAGATTGGCTACAAGAGGCTCACCATAGCGATCCCACAATATCGTGTACTCAAATTCAAAGGAGCATCAAAAAATGTCTTTAGTGCAAGAGTATTGGAACTCGCCGAGGAGCACAACGGACAAAAGATCGTTGCAGGGCTTCCCGAAATAATAATTGCAAGAAACCATGGCGGCTAAGTTACACAAGATGAATAAAGACTTCCCCATTCGACCGCAACTTTTAGGTGTATGGGACATGGGTTGAAGTCAGCCATATGCAACATAAACAAGACTCAAAGATGCACCTGTCATAGAAGCATACGCCTTCTTCTCTTTCTTCTTCTTGTCATTCCTCTAAGCCATTAAGCTTAGTTTTGAAGTCCTCCATGATATTGCTTTTTTGCAATAATTTTTAGTTTGTCGCAAGACTAAAATGGAAAGAAAAAGAAAGACAAAAAATGAAGTCCTGTGTCAGACAAAATAAGACAGTACTCAAATTTGAGCCACTTCATACTTCTCACCTAAGCTTTCCTCTCGTTTTCACACTTTACTGACAATGAGATAATAGGTAGTAAAATCAGCTTTTTCGGCTTAACGCTTCAAAGACTATAAATTTTACGTAAGCGTTTATGAAGGCGCAAGTTATTTGGCTGTAAACCCACATGTATTGCATTCCCGTCTTAACGCCGCTGAATTTGTGTAAACAGTGCCGTTGAGCACGAAAATTCAACGTGGACCGTTTAAGTTGGTTCACACCTGCCTGAGGCATGGTGGCGGCTATTTACGATATTGCGCAAAACCCTCGATTCTACATTGCGCAGGTGCAAGACTTGGGTCAAGATCCAAGACTGAAAGCGCGTCATTAATAAGAGTACATTTACCAAGGATGGAAACACGTGAGTTTGGTCTCCCTCGCAGAGGTGTCATTTACACATTGAGTTTTCCGCGATAGGGCTAGTGTTGACTAATGCACGCGAACTCTGGCTTTACCCTTGACTAACAACCTCTTGAATTTCTTTGAAGTTTAGACTTGACGTCGATGCAAACGTGATCACAAGTTTTTATCGATCTACCCACAATTCTCGTTCAAGGTCCTCGGGCACGAGACGTTAGCAACACTGCTCCTTGTATAAGCATTTTGACAGAAGCGAGCATATGTGATTTTGCTTCGTTTCTAAACAGTTCGCAGCAAACGTTGTTGTTCAAAACTAGGGAGAAGGAAAACAGAAGAAGACAGTGAAGACATATGAAGTAATTTTGGAAAAAAGTAATGCCTACAGTTGAATCACAGTTTTCTTGTAATGTTTATAAATCATCATCTGATTTGATAGCCTAGTAGAACTATTTCAGCAATTCATATGTTTGCTTGTTAAAGTCACCTTCTTTGAAAGCAGGAAGTATGCAGGAGCAAGGACTCTTTTACAAAGTGCTGGAAATCATTCGATATATCGGTAGCTGATAACCTTATATTACGGATGTTCGAAAAACTTCAAAAAAGACCAAACAGTAACTACTAAGCCGGACGTCGGCAACTTGTAGAAATAGGTTTGTATCCAACCCTACACCTTTTGAGTTCGATCAGAGCTTGGCACAAAATAAATATCAAACTTCAACGTCTACAGGAAAGACCAAAAAGAAGAATGGTCCGAAGTGTGTGCAGAGTCTCAGAAACATCGTTAGACATAACTACAAGCACGATAGGACAAATACGAAAATTATGTAAAAGTTAAGTGAATGAAGGGCGCGTATTTTTTTCTTGAAAGTCTCCTATCACCGCCAAAAAATAGTTCGTTTCTGCAGCACACAGGTAACGATATAGCACCAAATTCAGCACAAATTCATTGCTTGGAGTAGGAGCAAAGCTTGAACTTATCTTAAGCACATAAAGAGTGTTTCAACTCATTTTGCACGTTAGGATAGCAATGCCATCCCAATGCCACTTTGAGCTTATCGCAACCAAAGGAGTAAAAGAAAATGGAGTAATCTTATATATAAAGCTGCCTGTTTAACTGTCTGTCTTCTGTATGTCTGTGCGTACAATAACCCTCAGAATGTGCAAAATTTCCGTGAATGTCGCAAAATTCCCGGAATTCCGCGACATTCTGGGAATTTCGCGAAATCAGCACGAATCACACAAACTACGCAGCGCCATAATTTCCTTCGGAATGGATCTATTCTAAATTCGACAGTAGCATTGTAGACAGCTCGTCAAGGCTAATCTTTTGATATATAGCATATCCTCGATATTCCGTTTCCAATTTTCTCAAATTCTTCTGCGGAGGTCTTTTCGCAAGAACTTAACGCACCATCTGTTCAACGTAAAAGATGACAGTAAGTACCATTCGATAAAACGGTTCTTGCAAATTATAGGTCGCAATAAAGTAGCCTGCTCTTGCCAAACAGATGTGATTTTCGTAATCAGCAGATCAGATAACTATAAGCAAGTTTCCGAGAAGTTCAGGTCATCTTATTTTTTCGCGTTTTACGCTCTGAAGCTCGCCGATGGATTTGACCTATTGATGGTCTTGGATTGTAGCGAAACTTCGCTCATAAAGGTTTTTGGACACCCTGTTGGTGGTCTTGGAATTGCGAGAATTGTGGTCCTGAGGAATACAGGATCTTTCTGCAGGGACACGATGAAGTAACTGTAACTGAGTCACGAAAGTTCATAACTTCGTCTTCACTTTTCGCGCATCTCTCAGAAAACTTGCCTGCTTGCTCTTATAGGTTAAAGTTACTAGAAACTGCATGTCTCAGGCCCCAGTCACAAAGCTGAGTTACGAGCCTACGAAAACACGCCCTCATGAATTTTGCCCAAAATGTGAAAATCTCATACCTCGTTGACATTCCACCTTGAGAGTGACATTCTGATTGCAAATAATAGTTCATTTCGCTCGAGGGATCCCACTGCATTGAATACGGCGGTTACTTGTGCTTCTGCTCAACTGAATATCAAAGCAGTTCCGTAGCTCAGCAGATCTATCTAACTATCAAATTCAAAGAAGATCTGTCAAGTTAAGCGATGTGAACAGATTTGATCAGCGTGTTATACAACCATTCAAGGTGGAATGTCGGCGAGGCATGAGATTTTCACATTTTGGGCAAACATGAGGATGTGTTTTCGTAGGCTCGTAACTCGGCGATTTTTGTAGACTGGAGCCTGAGACATGCACCACTGGATGGTGCAGTTCCTACTAATTTTAAACTGTAAAAGCAAGCAGGCAAGTTCTTTGAGAGTTGCGCGAGAAGTGAAGACGAAGTTATGAACCTTCGTAACTGGGTAGGGGAACGAAAGCCGCCAGTTTGAGCCGCCTTTCGCGTCCAACTGGTCCTTTCGCAGTGTTGTTGCATGTCGTTCCAAGACCAGCAGTCCGCGTAGGCGGCCCAAACTGGCGGTTTTCGTTCTCCTACCCACTTTAAACTATAAAAGCAAGCAGGCAAGTTCTTTGAGAGGATAAGTGAAGACGAAGTTATGAACCTTCGTAACTCAGTTACAATTACTCCACCGTATCTCAGCAAAAAGACCCTGTATTCCTCAAATACCACGATTTTCGTAAACAGCATCTCAGAAAACCTCCATAAGCGAAGTTTCCTTACAATTCAAAATCATCGATATTTGGCCAAAATCCATCGGCGAGCTTCAGAGCGTAAAACGGGAAAAAATGAGATAACTCGAGCATCTCGGAAAACTTGCTTAATAGAGGTTATCTGACTGCTGATTGCGAAAATCACATGTGATTAGCAAGAGAGGTTACGGTGAGTGAGATTTAGAACGACATGATTTTCCAGAATTCACCACCCTACTAGTCCCTTAGGGTAGAACTCTGCGGTTGCTTTCCAGCGTTCCACAATCTACAGAAGAAATGCTATTAGAAGGTTCTTGAAGTTCAATGTTTCATCGGGTTTTTATTAGGTTGGCACATAAGTTGTGCAACTTTTCCCGTAACTTTTTTCCTACTTTATGTAGCAATCTCATTTTGTGGCATCATGTAGATCGTGATGTAAGCTGTAAGTCTGCGCAAACCGTTTGATTTTTGATAACCTAGTACAAAAAATCTAAGCATATTTGAAAACTGCTGAAAATCGAGGTAGCTGCCAACTTCCAGCATGTAGCTGGAAGTTGGCACATTGGAATCAGTGAAAAAGAAATGAAATTCAAACGCAAATTAAGGTGGGGCGCCTTTGAGAAGTTGAACAAGTCAAATGCGTCAAGTTTTGAAGGCAATTTGTCAATAACTAAGCTGCGAAAAGTCAGAATTCGCTATAACTTTGCACTATAGGGTAATCCTATGCGGTAAACACGAATATCATAATCATTTGTCGCTAAAATAAAATTCATCTTTTGATCTCACGAACGAGGCCTTTTCATGCGAAACGGATCTCATTTTTGTGATCAGCATGTCAAATAAGCCCTATAGGCCAAGTTTCAGCAAAATTTGATGCATTCTAAAAATTTTCCCATAGTACCGTAAACCTATCGTAATCCTCACATAAGGTGGTAAAATTCGGCAAAAATGTGTGCATTAGAAGCTTGCATCATATTCCTTATACTGCCAAAAAATGAATGCGCTACGTTCAAATAGACAAAAGTTATATAAAAAGTTGCATTACTTATGTGCCAACCTAATAAATGATATGCCGTTATATAAGAGCGGGTAAAATGACTGTATATAGTTGCCTTTTGCACAACCTATCAAGCGGTCAATGCATGAAATCTATTCTCTTTAAGGCAATCTAAAACTTCTTGTTTCAGGCCAACTCTTACGAGAACCGATGTATTCTTCAATAACAGTGACGTTCTTCTCATGCATTCTGGTAATCACAGCCCAACAAAAAAAATTGCAAATGACTCTGCTATAAAATCCTCACTGATCTCAAAGACTATACGGGTAACCCAGATAAATTGGCAGAGGCTTGTGCCACTTTTTATTCAAA